TGCCTCCTGTTATCTAAGTATGCACATATCCAACGCAATGCCGAGCACGAGAAATTCAGGCTTCTAAGCTTCTCGGTCAGTATAAGATGGTCCACATTATCGAACGCCTTTGTGAAGTCCAGAAAGATAGCCACCGTTACCTTCCTTGTCCGCAGCACGTCTAACATTGTCCAAGAATCCGATCACCGCCGATTGAGTGGAATGCCCTCTAGGATATGCCGCTTGATAAGGATCCAGAAAACCATGCTGTTCCACGAATCGCGTGATTTGCTCAGCAGCGATACGCTCCATCGCTTTGGCAATTGCACACATAACCGAAATTGGCCTATAGTCGGCAAGTTTCGTAGGACACTTCATCTTTGGTAGCGGACAAACGACCGCCAACTTCCACACACTCGAGAATACTCCACGTGAGAAACAGAAATTGAACAGATGCGTCAAGATTGGCAAAATGCAAGGCAAAGCCGATGCAATAAGCTTTTGCGAAATGTTGTCACAACCGATAGCCATGGACTTGTTTCGTCGAATAGCCGAGCAGATGTCCCGCGGGGTGATGTCACTCCAGTAAAATTTAGTGTCCCCATAGATTTCTTCACCCAAATAGATTTTATTTACCGACTCCACTTGTTGACTATTTGGCGCTCCAGAGAAATAGTTATTGAGTTCCTCAACCGGAAAGAGAAGCCTCACCTCAACGGATCTTTGTTTAATCAGGCCAAGATGCCTTAGCCTTTTCCATAGTGCCCTCGATTCACGGGTATCATCAAGAATTTTATTATAGTAAGCACTCTTTGCCGCCCTCACCAGCATGCGTGCTCTATTTCTGAGTGTCTTATATAGCTCATAGTTTATATCCGTTTTGTGTCTTCTCCATCTTCTTCGCGCCAGATCTCTCTCTCTCATAATGGCTTTAATGTCGGTAGTTAGCCATGGCCCCGGTAGATGTTTATGCTGTATTGTTTTAAGCGGAGCATGCCTGTCGTAGCAGTGCATCAAAAAATTGTTGAATAATTCCATCTTGCCATCTATATCGTTTGTCTGATACACCTCGCTCCAATTACATGCGTTCAGTTCGTTGATGAAACTGTCTACATTGAAGTCTTTGAAATCTCTGACCTTGATAGTCCTAGCGATGTGACGTTGAATCTTGATATTATAAGAAATTTCGATTAGGTTATGCGCCGAAAGAAAGCAGACATCTCGCTGTCTAAAATCTACAAGTTTGTCCTCATCATCTATAAGATGAGGTCCAATAATGTAGAGGAATTCCGAGTGTGGTGCGTAGGTTCAAAGGGTACCAAGTACAGACTAGACGAGGCAACGAAGGACCGAATCTGCTCGGCGTCATACGAGTTTGCTAGAAAAGCATTGAAATCGCCTAATATCACGGCATGCTTGTAGGAGGCTGACAGATCAGAGAAAACATCGAAGAAGTCCGATAGATACCCGCAGTGAGGCGGTCTATAAACAACAGCGAGAAGTAGCCTACAACCAGCTCTCGGCGAGATTTCAACAAGCAAGTATTCGGGCTTTCCGCAGAAAGTCCCCTCAGATCGCCGAACAATCCTGCAATGCAAGTTATTCGCCACAAAGACAGCTACACCGCCTCCACCCTTGCCCACTCTATCACCTCTAAGCAGCTGATACCCCTGTAAGGCAACTGAATAATCAGGAAGCGCAGGCTTAAGCCAAGACTCAGAGAGACAGATAACATGATATCTATTCTTTAAAAAGAAAGACCGAAACTCATCAAGATGCGCAGGTAGCGACTGACAATTTACATGACATATGCATAAATCCTCGAGTACAGTTTCCTTGGAGTGCTTAGCCATAATTAGTAAAATTTACTTTGCCTATGATCCTCCGTCGTAGAATAGGGCAATTTTTGCTGTCCAACGCAGAATGTGCCGTGCTCTCGCCTGATGACCATCTCTTGCAATTTCCACATACTGGACGACCCCTTCTATCCTCACAATCTTTGGTTTCATGTTCACCAGCACAGTGCCCGCACAGTGCCACCAATTTGCATTTGTTTGCAAAATGACCAAAAGCGAGGCATTTGTAACACTGCGTTACTCTTACATAATCAGTGACTCTGCAGACAGAGTAGTCGATAAAGATATGCTCTTCCTTCATCAAGACATTACGAATCTCCGGTGTTACCTCGATTACGCAACTAGTCGTTCTACGATCCGTCTTATTTAGAAATATATACACAACCTTCAAATGAGCGGTATCAATATTTTTTGGATCCAAGTTTAAAGCAATTATTTCCGTTCTTAATTCGTCCTTCTTCAAATCACTCTGACACCACGAACGAGTAGTCTCGGGTTAGGCTTGCTACCCTGCTGCACCGTTAGTCCCGCCTCTTCCAGGGCTGCTGAATCCTTCATCTTGTTTAAGTCCACGGAGAGCGCCTCAATGCGTATGCCATTATTAGGAGCCGCAATGCAATGCTTTTAATTTTCAGATTATACTCTGACGGTTTAAGAGCCCTCTGTAATGCCTCCCTGGTGGCGCGCGAAGAGGTAAATTTCTCGGTTGCATCACTTCTGGGAAGTATGACTAGGCTCTCGGATTGCAATACCTCGAGCGCCTTATCTCGGTCCACATGTACTTTTGGCCTCTCCGTTGCAGTCACACTTGCGAACGACCGAGCAGCGCCACTCTTCCTCGGGACGACCATAGTCGGCTCCGCCTCTTTCGGTGGCCACGAGGCCCGCAGCTCCGATACAGCTTCACTTACCCCCCTCTTTATATCCTCCACCGACAACGGGGCGGGAAACGAGACATTCCCCAACATCGCCTCACTCACCGCGTTCTTAATATCACCCACCATGATCGGGGCCGGAGGCAAACCGCCTCCACGCAATACATCACTGATCGCATTCTTAATGTCTCCCATCGATAACGGAGCCACGGACGCAGTTTTTTCAAGCAACGCCAAATACGCATTCGATAGCTCAAGGAAAGCGTCCTTACAAAACCGAAAAGCGGATTCGATATGCGCCCTATTCGATACCGTTTCCTTACTGGACAACAATGCTTTTAACATATGATCGTTATGCTTATTTAATGCTTGTTTTAACGCATGAATTCTCTGAGCATCCATGACAATACTCGTAGATTTGTTCATCAAGTTATACGCGCTAGAGGACCGTCTCGGTGGTACGCTTTTTGTTTTGTTTTTGTCCTGCTCATCGCCGTCAACAAGCATACCGTTTGTTCCCGCGGTGCCGCCTTCCGCCATATTCCCAACAGAGCCCCACAGCCGCGCTGTGGCCAATCAGATACCCGGGCGCATGCGCATAGACCACTAGGCCAGAAAATCGTCCGAATGAACCAAAGCGATCCGAGTCCTCCGACTCAGAAAAAAGTTGCGAGAAATGACCACAGCCTCCTTAGATGACTGAACGCTCGTCGAAAAGTCAAACAGAAAGAGCTTTGACATACCAGGAGCTGCAACAAAGTCGCCCCGCAGGGCAGAGTGCGGCAGTAAAAGATCGACAAGACAGAGCTCACAAAGACACGTCCGCACGATACTCACACAGCAGAGAGAGAGAGAGAGAGAGAGAGAGAGAGAGAGAGAGATCGTTATTTATTGAGCGCTCTAGAAACATCGTCTTCTCAAGCGCTATACAACCATACAATCCAAATTGCATTACATTATACAAAAAGCATTTAAATACAAATAATTTCAACTAGAATAATACTACAACTAATAATAGAACAATACATAGAAAATAATAGATAGAGATAATAGAATACTACAGATAATAGAAATAGTAACTAATAACAATCATTAGAATTAAAAATAAAAATGAAATAGCTGTACAATAATATAAAATATAACGAATAACAATAATTTGTATTGGAGAATCAATGAAATTGTCATACAAATGCTAAACAACAAGATACGTACACATAAAATTTGAAAGAAAAAACAACTACATATTTTCCGACTACAAATTGCCCGCCTCATCGAAAAGATAGTTATACAAGCTGCTTTTGAATGCCGCTAGAGAAGAGGCACGGCGTATGCTCTGTGGAATCGAGTTCCATAATTCAGCTGCATAGCAGCAAAACGCACGTTTATAGAATTCTGTACGGCACAGAGGCAGCACCAAGGCATCATCAGGAGCTCTGGTGGTACACCCAGCTCCTCGCTGCCTAAATTTAAAATTGGTGAAGAGGTATTCCGGCTTTGTCGAGGACAAAATAGAATATGTTAGACAACCCACAAGATACATACGCCGCTCCTTCACCTTGAGCCATCGAAGGTCCCTATAATATTGAGAGACATGCTCGTCCCACTTTATATAAAAGATATACCTGAGATCGGAAGAGCACACGTCTGAA